GTCCCCCTTTGTTCTAGGCGGAACGATGAGGTCACCCACATCAAGATCCAGAACTCGGGGGACTACTACGACCTGTACGGGGGCGAGAAGTTCGCCACGCTGGCCGAGCTGGTGCAGTACTACACCGAGCAGCACGACCTGCTGCGCGAGAAGAGTGGCGACATCATCGAGCTCAAGTACCCCCTGAACTGCAAGGACCCCACGTCCGAGAGGTACGGGCCTGCCGAGTGGCTGGTTTTGACATTCCTTTTGACAGCTTCTGATGGGGCTCCTGCTGACCTCCTGATTCCAGCTGACCGTCCTGAAAGCCGAGGGGGCTGAGCTCTGGCACATCAGTGCGAGTGTGACTCACAACTGCGGCCCACGGAGCCAGAGGAGGAGGAGGAGAGAAAGAGTCGTGGCTCGTTTGATAACGCCTCTCCTACGTCGCGCCGCCCACCCTGTTCGGAGGGATCGGCGGAGGAAAGGGGTGTGGGGGAGCTTATGATGAAAGGTCCAGTCGGAGGTGTTTTTCAATCTTGGTTCGAATAGACAATAGCACTTTTCCACAAGGACCAGTGGGTTTTGCCTGTAATATATTTTATATCAGAGTGCTGTGCAGAGATGTAGCCACGCACACTCTTTACTAGAATGTTTTACCAGCTGCGAGTTGTGTCGATTCCTCCTGACCGGATATTTGTCATCTCTTCTGTTCTAAATTCACGATAAGGGTTTTGCAGGTGTAAAGAGCCTAACAAGAAATTAAACGTTCAAGAAGTTTATTTCTGTCCGCTGGGTTCGAGGAGTTAGAATTTTGCCATGGTTTTGTTCCAGAGAAGATGAGCAAATATAATGGAGCTTAAAGATTTGGTCGCTGCTGTAGACGCCCTAAAAAAATGAGCCCCTCGATATTGCGTGTAGGTGCAGTCGCATGCTGTACGGTATGTGGGTGACAGTGTGGGCTCATTTGTCCACTGTGTGATAATTGCACAGCCAGTTCCAGGACGAGAGGCCTGGGGTTGCTTTGCTTGAACGCTTGGACTGTAGATCACAGTATCCCTGCAGGAAAACAGAGCCAAGTCTGGTAAAACTGTCAGATGA